ATCTGAAAAATATGGGTCCATAAATGAGAAACAGAGACATGTCTGGTACTCTGATATAATATATATTGTTGAAATCGTATCTCCTTTTAAGTGAGGTTTAATTTTGGTGACATTACATGGGAATAAAAAGAATTTTGACTTAGAAACTTTTACTGGAAGCATTGATCTAACTAAAATATTTTAAAAGGCAGGAAGTATTTGCATATCAAAAAATTGCACAATGGTAGTTTTGCTTCCCAGGAATGATCCTGGAGTATTTAGGGTTAATTATTGATCCTGTAAGAAAGTTCTCAGAACTAAGAAATATATAAGAATATATGTGATTAAATGTAAAAACATGGCTGAGTTTTGGTTTGTTTTTTCTTTTCCCATTTAAATATTAAAATTAAAGTAACGTGAAGGTACATTTTTGGAAAAGGGCTTCAATACAGAAATTTATTTTATACTAGAGGCCGGGTGCATGAAAATTCATGCACTGGAGGGGTGTCCCTCAGCCCGGCCTGCCCTCTCTCACAGTCCAGGAGCCTTCAGGGGCGGGAGGCTACCTGGCAATCAGGGGAAGGCAACGACCCATCACACCTCTGCTGCTGCCACTTCCATCAGTGCAAGCCTCGGACAGCCCTGGTTACCTGAGCCTCGGGCAGCTGGGCAGCCGCCGTCTGAGGCTTGCCTGCATCTCAGGCCGGCCCTGGGCAGCTGGGGGGCTAAGGGGACTGGGGGATTTGGAGGCAGGTGTGCCTGCTGCCCCAGCAGGGTTGAGGGGACTAGGTACCTCCATCTTGTGGCAATGGGCACTGCCATCTTTGAGGGCATGGCAGTCAATTAGCACATTCCCTCCGTATTGGCTGTGGGCACTGCCATCTTTGCAGCCTGCTGCTCAGTTGTTTGGTCGACCCTCACTAACCCCCTGCTGGCCTGGTCACCCCACGCAGCCTATTTGGTCGTCCGTTCATTTGTGACAGTTGCTTAGGCTTTTATATATTTAGATAAACAGTAAGCTAAGCGGGCTTCAGTACACAAAGAGAAATAGGAAAAGATGAGCTACTTCTGAAAATCAGTAGGAGAAACTATCTTTCTCATAAAAATTTAAAGAACATATCTTTGGTATCCTCAATTTATTTTAAGGTAAAGCAATCTATAAAGGTGAAAAGCTTCTATTATAATAAAGATCAACTAACTCTAGTTATATCAGCAGCTACCCAAAATGAAAGTTTTTTTCTTATGATGAAAAACTCAGGTTATTTTTTTTTCCCTACTAAAATATCAGTATCTGTAGTTTTATGCTGATTTGTACCCAGTTTGGATAGAAATGGATATGAGTATTTATCTTACATAATAGCTTGCACAGCCTACTACTTGATGCATGTAGCATATGGAAAATGTGTTTAGCTCCTTGTAGAATTTCACCAGCCAAAAAAGGATCCATTTCTATTTGCATGGTCTGTTTACAGTCATTTTAAAAATATGTTACTGTGTTGCTTCCTAGTTAGAAAAAGCAAATGTTGGCACATTACAGACTCCATTACTTTGGTCTTTAGGAAATATATGTATTGCTTTCCAGTTAATAAAAAAATCAACAATAATCACACTTCTTGTGCTTTCAACCCAAACATTCTCTTTAGGATGTATTTTTATTCCTCCACATTATCTCTCTCCTAGATATTTTATAGGAGTATGGTTGAAATTTTTCATACTATATTAGAGCCTATGCTTATGCTTAAATGAATTGTCATGGAAGGATTAATCCTGCAACCTTTATAAGCATATTTTATTAATATCATCTTATCCTTAAATAGAATATTAATAATATTAATGATATTTAACATTTAATAACCATAGAATGTTAGGTAGAAATGTGTTCCATGCCAGTGACTTTCAAAAACGTACAAAAGTCACTGTAACAGCATGATAATCATTAAACATGCTCTACATAATATATTAATTGCACTAGTACAATTCATTTAGGAGGCATTTCTGGATAACAAGGGTGATAATATTTTTGACTCTCAGCATGCTGAGCCCTCAAGGAATGGAAGTATTTGGTAGATCTTTTGAAAATATATATTACATTCGTAAGTTCTGGAAATATATTTTCCATGAAATGATTTACAGTTGAGCATGGATAAAGGGGAGAGAATTCAAAATATAAATATTATGAAAACTGATTAAATATAGTTATTATATTGATTTATTTTTATTAGTAAGTCAGTATAAAAATAATTAGTATAATAACTGTGATAAGGAGTTCTTGTTAAAAGATTAAATAATTGCAATACATTTTAAACTTTTTATCCTTGAAATACCTTAACTATTAAATCATTTGTGTTACTATATATGTTTGTTTATTTTTTAATATATTTTATTGAATTTATTATGGTTACATTGGTTAAAAAATTGGTTTCAAGTGTATCATTGTATAATACATCATCTGTATATTGTATTGTTTGTTCATCACCATAGTCTTGGCTCCTTTCATCACCATTTATACCCCTTTACCCTCTTGTGCCTGCCCCATTCCCCTTCCCTCTGATAATCAAATGCTGATGTCTATGTCTGAGTTGTGGGGTTTTGTTTTGTTTTGTTTTGTTTCGTTGTTTTACTTAATCCCTTCACTTATTTCACCCAGCCTCCCAACCCCTCTCCCATCTAACAGCTCTCAGTCTGTTCTCTGTATCTATGAGTCAGTTTCTATTTTGTTCATTAGATTCCACATATAAATGAAATCATATGATATTTGTCTTTCTCTGACTGGCTTTTTTCAGTTAACATAATACCTTCTAGGTTCATCCATGCTGTCTCGAAAGGTAAGATTGTTCTTCCTTTTTATGGCTGAGTAGTATCCCATTGTATAACTGTTCCACTGCTTTTCTATCCACTTATCGACTGATGGGCACTTGGGACGCTTCCAAATCTTAGTTATTATAAATAGTTCTTCAATGAAAATAGGGGTAGAAATATTATTTAGAACCCATGCTTTGGGTATTTTCACATATATTCTGAGAAGTTGAATCACCAGCATCATAAGGTAGCTTCATTTTTAATATTTTGAGGAAACCCCACACTGTTTTTCACAGCGGCTACACCAGTCTGCATTCCCACCAACAGTGAACAAGGGTTTCCTCTTCTCCACATACTGGTTAATACTTGTTGTTGGTTGATTTGTTGATGATAGCGATTCAGACAGCTGTGAGGTGATACCTTATTGTAGTTTTAATTTGCATTTCTCTGATGATTTGATATTGAGCATCTTTCATATGTTTACTGGCCATCTATATGTCCTCTTTGGAAGGGTGTCTATTCAGGTCCTTTGCCTATTTTTTTAAATTGGATTGTTTGGTTCTTTGTGGTTTTGAGTTGCATAAATTCTTTAAAATTTTGGATATTAATAAAGAAATAATTACCAGGTATATCATTGGCAAATATATTCACCCATTCAGTGGGTTGTCTTTTCATTTTGTGGATGACTTACTTTGCTCTGCAAAAACTTTTTAGTTTGATGTAGTCCCATTTGTTTATTTTTTCTTTTGTTTCCCTTGACTGAGGAGATGTATCAGAAAAATTATGAGAAATGTCTGAGATTTACTGCCTATGTTTTCTTCTGGGATGTTTATAGTTTTGAGTCTTACATTAAAGTCTTTAGAATAGTATATTGGATTCTATTACCCAATTTCAACAATCACTTAATGGTCAATCTTGTTCTGCCTATACTGTCCATAGCTCCACCCTCCTTTTCATCTAAAATATTTTGAAGCAAATCCAATACATGATAACCTTTCCCTTACAAACATCACTGTGTGTATGTCTAAAAGGTAAGGACACTTTTAATAAACATATTGATACCATCATCACACCGAAAATACAAACAATTTCTTAGTATTAACGAATCTCAGTATTCAATTTCACATTACTATTTATTTTTTATTTTGTTTGAATAAAGACCTACTTTGTCACTGGTTGACATGTTTATTTTAGTCTAAATCAGGGAGCAATTTGGGCCTGTAGGGGACACTTTTAGCAGTCTGGAGACATTTATAATTTTAACAATTGCTGTGGACTAAATTTTTGTGTTTTCCCAAAATGCTTATGTTAAGATCCTTACCCCAATGTGACGATGTTTGAAGGTGGGGCCTTGGGTAGTAATTAGGTTAGGTTAGGTTATATGTGTGGGGCCTTCGTGATGGGATGAATGCCCTTATAAAAAGAGAAGACAGAGGGATCTCTCTCTGTGTGCACCACCAAGGAGGCCATGTGAGACTATAACCAGGAAGAGTCCTCTTACCAAAAACCCTGGTGGTCCGAACTAAGCTGGCATTCTGATCTCAGGCTTCTAGCATTCAGAACTGTGAGAAGTCTATGGTATTCTGTTATAGCAGCCCAAACTGACTAAGACAACTAGTGGTATGTAGTAAGTGGAGGCCAGGGACACTGCTAAACATCCTACAGGGCATAGGACAACTGCCACAATAAAGAATTATCCAGCATCAGATGTCCACAGCACAAGGTCACATAACCATGGTCTAAAGGTTCCTCCTTCACCTATTTTTTATTATAGTGTATTTGTTAATAAGCTGGATCATTTGTCTTTTAGAGTTTCCCACACTCTGTATTTTGCTAATGACACACCATGATATCACTTAACACATTTCTGTGTCCCTCATATACATTAGCAATTGGATTCAGAATCTCCATCAGATTCAGATGCAGTATTTTTAGCAAAATACTTTATTTTGTTTTATCAATAGTATGGTGTACTTCCATCAGGAGATACATAATGCCTGGGTCGCTCTCTCTCTCATCACTATGGGAAACTTTTGATGATCTGTATTTATATCCCTTAATTCATTAGAGGTTGAAAAAATGATATTTTATAATTTCTTTACCTATCACAAATATCACTATGTCTTAAATATTTGTTACAATGTTTGATATACAAATAGCACTGCACATGAATCACATGAATCACTTACACGTTTGTTTGTTTTTTTTGTTTTTTTTTTTAGAAACATCCTGTACCACCTTGATGAGAAGACAAGCCAGTTTTCAATCCTCCTGGAGGCTTGGGAGCGCTGCAAGTCTCTTGCATCCAATGAGACCTTTCAAGAAGCCCTGTCAAAGGTGTTGCACAGCATTAATTCAGCTCAGGTTTACTTCAAAGCAGGACTTGATGTGTTCGACAGTGTCTTGGATGGGAAGAACTGAGAAAACTCTCAGCATTTTAAAAAGTTTGTTTACAATTCCTTAAGCAAAAGCTCCAATCTGATAGACTTGCTGACATTGAAGACTCCCCACCCCCACCCCCGCCACCAATGGCTTTTTATACAAATCTAAAGCTATTATTAGATTGTATTTTTAATAGACATATATAAAAAGAGCATTTGCACAATTAATATTTTTCATATATCTGCATTTCTGAATATGCAAAAGCAAGTTATTGAAATAATACTTAAGATTTATCTATTAAAAGAAATCTACTGTATTTTTATATATATATATAAAATATTTTGGGGGAAGCGTTACAAGAAGTTTTGGACAATCTTTGCTCCTATGGATAGAGCACATAGGAACAGAAGTTGTTCCTTATGTTAGAGCATTTAATGACCTACTTTCTGCAATAGAAATGGAGGGTTGATATGGTTGCAGATTAATTCACTATTAAGTATTCGTTATGAAGAATTCAAGTATTCTGACTGAGTGATTGGTTGACCAAACCCACTTTGAATGTTTCTATTTTATGAAATGAAGTGCCTGTTCATAACACAACTAGATGTAGTAATACACTGGTTATGAAATTGTATTTTTGTAAGTATTAATGAAAAAAAGAGCCATAAACATTCCAGGGAAAAATCTCCAGGTAGCTGCACAGATCAATTTAAATGCAAATTTTTTCTAACAACTCATAAGGTGACAAGCTTTGAAACCCTTAATTTGCCTCAGTTGATTTTGTAAAAATCCAGGGGTGATATATGTCTTATGAGGGTGACAATATTTCTAATTTCTTCTTGTGTTGTTTCTGTTGGAAGCCCAGAAACAGAGCTATTTTAAAATGAAAGCATCTCACATTCTTTGAAAACCCCAAGTATCTTAAAAAGCATTAAATTGCTATTTTTGCCACTGACATGAAGGACTTACTATGAAAGAAATAGTTGTTTTGATCAATGGGAAAAAAAGCTCCTGAAATCTATGAGGAAACGTTCAACATATTTTTCTTTTTTATCCTTAGTTGTGACTAAAAGTGAACATAGATAATAGTCATAATCCTAATTTTATGCAGAAAAAACAGTGCTTCTGTATGAATATGTCTTTCCCACACTTCAATTATTTTCTCTTGTGGAAAATGAAACTCTTAATAGTGACATTGTCATTGACTGGCCCTGACATCTAAGATTCCCCAACACCTTAGAATTCTGCTAGGTGACAGTTTAAACTTTCAGCTTGCTCTTGGGAATTGATTTAAGTCTTTTTCTTCTGATACTGGATAAAGGAAATCCCCTGAGGAAACATATTTTCAGAATATTTCATGTGACTTTTTTCTCTATCCCAGCACAGTAAACACACTTCCCCATTATACACAGCCAGAGCAACATTGCAGACAGCACCTGTGTGTCTAAATCTTTGCTTTTTGTAGATGAGCATAAACCTAATCTTAGTTTAAAGGAAACCTAAAGTTGAGGGGAAAGAATTAATCAGTATTGATTAATTGATTTATAAGGCTCAGCTCTTCCTACCCTAAGTAATGTTTATATGCTCAAGGCAAAGAAGAGAATTGAGGCAATTAGCTAGATAATTCAAGCAGAAATCCATTTTCATCTGAATTGCCTGTGTGCACATAGTTTTACATGAGAAATGAAACTGCTTGATTTTTTTTTTAAACCAATATACTTGTTTGTTTGAAAATATTTGCCATATTCAGGAAAGGACTGAAGGACCAGGCTGCTGCACACCTCAACATCAATGTCCCTTGCTCCACCGAAATCAACATCAAAGATAAAATGAGAATATACATATGGACATGGTTAGGGCCAAATAATAGAATGCCTTATACTCAAGGATCTTAAATATTTAACCAAGCTTTAATGCATTCATTCCAGTTCTTAATTTGGGGTTGAATTTAAAGCAAAGCCAAATAATGATCAATTTTATAGTTTATCAGTTTAGAACAAAATCCTGAGTAAATTCACTCAGTCTGTAAGAGCATTGAAAGCACAAAATTTTTTGTTTGTACATTTTTGTTTAATGATAGTGTACTTGGGTAAACCACACTGCACAGATAAAAATCTCAATATTATGTATTCTTCACTTTGAAATTATATGATATTTGATATATCATATAATATATAGAGAACTGAAGTTAACTGTGGAATAACACATTTTATTAGTCTACTTAAGAGATGTGAAGAAACTAAATTATAATTAAAATATATGTCCACCAGTTTTATACATGCTGCTCTACATATTTGACTGCAACAAGCTTCTTAACCAAGAACATTATTGTTATGGTCTGATTACCTCAGGGTTCCACCAAATTTATATTATTCTAATTTTTCCCCAATAGATCCAAGTAAATAAAATCCTATGCAAGTTAATAGCAAGTGCTTTTGGTGAATTGGTAATAGGCTTCAATTCTTACTGAGATATCTGGGTGCCTGCTAATTCTCACACTCCTTCATACATAGAATTGTGCCTAGATGTAATAAACCATAAATGGTTATTCTGCTAAGAAAATGTGCCAAATCTGCATCACTGGAACTTGGGCTCAAGAAGGGTACACGCTGCCCTTTGTGGAAGAGCATGTATTCTGGAGTCAAAAGGAAGCCTAAAGAGACATTTTAGTCTAAGCCCTAAGATTTTATCTTCAGCCAGGAAAAGCATTATCACCCCATGGGCTTCAATACCTGAAGCCAAAGCAATTAAAGAACTTGGATAGAGTCACATAGCTAGCTAGTAGCAAAAGCACCACTGGAATTTACACTCCTCTGCTTTGAAATGCACTAAATCTAGCTCCCTCTTTGAGATGCTAGGGGTTATGAACAATCTTTCCAGTGCATCCTCAGAAAGCAGCCATTTTTCCAAATGCTGCATATACTGGAGTTACTGCTCTAATTAAGGACTAGCTTATTCTCTGACTATACCTGACAAATAAAACCTTCCTAGGCAAAGGATTGGGTACTCAGGAGGAAGTGGGGAGAGTTTCCACAGGACAAAAGAAGTAGGAAGGAGGGCATTGAGTCAAATGCTTTTATGAGAACATATTTTAGCTCTGTATTAAATCAGGAAGCTAAATTGCTATTTCTCAAAAATGTGGATTTTAGGGTATGAGGCCTAGCCATCTTCATCTTCAGCAGGTGTTCCCAGATGATCATTATGAACTCTGAAGTTTAAGAATTTCTAATCCACATCAATCCTGGCTCCTGAGAAAGCATTACTTGGCAACATATCTAAAGCAAACAACAACAAAAGCAAAACACAACTGAGAGTCACAACAACAGGAAGCTTTGCTATTAAAGGGAGAGAGTAAAAGTAGCCATTGTATTTCTCAAAAAAGGATGCAGACACAGCTAACACCTGTGCCTGCCACTTTTGTCCATTGAGTCCTCACAACAACCTATTTTATTTTTTTAATGAGGAAAGTTAACTGAATGACTGCTCGAATGCTCCTTATGATGGTGGCCCACCAACCTAACTCTATGTGGGTAGGTTAGAAAATATCTCTAAGAGTATTAAAAATTAATACACCATTGGAGACAATCATGGCAACTAGATGTAAAATAAAAATATAAAAATAACAGAAGCCTTACATTACACAATTTTCTCCTCAAAATGCCTATATAATTTCATAGGGGGGAAATAAAGCAAGTGCTTGAATTTACAAACAAAGTTTTATATTATCCTTAAGAGCTTAGAATAACTAATTGACATTTTTAACTTAAATAAATATAAGCATGAGGTAGGTTTCCCTATTGCAAAGATAAATGTTATAAAACTGAAATAAATGATGATTTATTGCCAACTGCCTAATGATGAATCAGCATCTGTGCCTCAAATGAAAAACTGTAATTATTTACACAACAAATTGGTAGACCTAGCCAAAAATGCTCTAAGATGCACTGTGTGGTATGCGTGATTAATTACTGCAAGAAGTAAGCTTTCTCTGAGGGTAGCACATCGTCATCTCTTTGATGTAATAGGCTATTTAACTGTGTCTTAGTCATATTTTCTTAATAGAAAGGAATTACTTTAAACTGTCAATCCATGTGTTGAACAGAAATGAAATGGTCCACATATTCCAATAAACATAATAACATAATCATTTCATCATAGGAGCACAGAGGAAACCCGGGGGGGGGGGGGGAGACAAAGAATGTGATAATTATGAAAAATATTCTGCCTAACTGCACTAGTGAGTCTTTATTTCTTCCATATGCTTACATTTTGAGCTTAAAAAAAAAACTATTCTGAAAGATCTTAAGAAACTTCAGAGTTCTAAGCACTCCATTGAGTGCAAATATTTTTTGGTTAAGTGGGTTTGTTTATGAAATTCGAAATTTCAGGTGATATGAATTTAAAAGAAGAGTTGCAAAGAATTTTTTTAAAAATCTAACCTTTCGTGATCATCACCATGTCCACTCAATTGTGTGTTTCCTCTTTCTAGATATACTTCAGCAATTAGATTAGGCTCTTTTTCCCCCGAGAGAGTAATGTTAATATCTACTGGACTCAATATGCATTTATCTGTAAATCAGCCAGAGTCTTATTTCCATAACATCGTTTCATTATCCTCTGAAGATGTGCACTGAAGAGCCTTTAGCACACTTGGGGCTGTTGAGAATCTTGAGGCCTTGCTTGTTGTAAAATGACATATTTCTTAAAGACATTTATAATCTCATATTCAGATTGTATCTGAATTTACAAAGTGAAGGATTAAACTGAGGCACTTTCAAGTAGCACTCAAGAAAAAGAAGCTGCTTCAAATTTTAATGTTTCTGGTTAGATTACTTTTGGTTTGAAGCATATAGTTATATAGTTTTCTGTAACCAAACTGATAATTTTGATGTTTTCAGCCAAACTCCAATCATTGAAGCCAAAGAAATGCATGACTACTCTAATTTCTTAAGTAGGATGCTATCAAGAATTAACTCAGGATCAGCTAATTCTAGACAAAGATTTGATGAGTGTAGACAGAGCCTAACAGTATTCCAATTCCTTTGATGTCTTAAGCCAGTAAGTACTGAGGTAGGTTTTCTCAGAGGGAGGCAGATTTTGTTTTCCAGGGGCTAATTAATATGCACAACCTCAGTCCCCAAAGGACCTGTACTATACCATATGTCATGTGCAAGCTCAAGAGATTAATATACAACCATTATCATGAATTATTATGTTGCATTGAAGTTAATGTCAGGCTTTTGTTCTAATTAAAGTATAAACTTGGCATCTGAAAGAAGTTTAGCTAGAGAAGTGCAGTTAGAGTCTCTATTTTAATAAATTACACATATTTTCAATCAAAATGTGTAATTATTTAATTGTCTAGACTGCTCAATAAGCAAAATTCTCCAACTCCTTCAAGAATCTTTATTCATATGCTAAAAGCAGGTGAACACTACTTGGAGTGTATTTTATCATTTTAAATTCTTAACCATTGTTGAATCATGCGTTCAGTAGATGTGATAGTGTTTTCTTAATATTAATGACAATTATTTGTTTTCCTTTATATCAAGCTGCTACAAATGGACTACCTTGTTTTGAAAATTAGAAAAAGACTATTACTCTATAAAGACAATTTTATCATGTCTGTTTAACAAGAAAAAAAAAATGTTTTACTCCACCATTGCAAATTATTTGTAGGAAACAAAATGTCCAGATGGTTATGTGTAGTTCACTTGATTATATTCCAAAGATATTATAAATAATTCTGTTCAGAAGTTGAGATAGGACTCTATTAAGTGATTTAGTATTTAGATTTCACACAGAAAGGTTTAATGGCAAATATATCTCACACATTCTAACATGCTACTTAAAAAATATGAATAGAATTTGTATTCTGAAAAAATATTCTCTAGAACATTTTGAAGGGCTAATTTTTTTTGTAGACATCTAGAAAAACAACATCATTTAAATAATAGTTTCATATATGTGTTTGGGATGTTAATATATATCATGCAGTTTTTCAATCATGTCTACAGTGTAGCAATATTTAATTCCATAAAATTATATAATAAATAAAATTTCTCAGTTGTATAAGAATAAAAAAGAAAGCCATAAAATAAATAACGTGATATTTAGGAGAAGATTTATAAATGAATTTGGGATAGAATTTGGAGGGCAATCTCTCCAATTAAATTATCTTTGGTTAAAAACAAATATCTCTGAAAGGTGTCTCAATTGCTAAATTTCACTGTGTTGAATATTGTTCAAGATAATTTTATTATTATCTGTGATTCAGAAATATTTCTATTGTAAAGAAATGTTCATGGTCATTGTCTTTGTTGTGATTCATTGTTAATGGCATTGATTGAGAGGCATGTGTCTGTAGTTCTGTAATTACTATATAGAAATGAAAGTCTACTCTCTATCATGTGTGGTGTCTGTTGGGAATTTAGTGTGTTCTATTTTTAGCCCAAGTGTGATCTCAATTTATTTTACAACTTTTTATATATTACTAAAATGACTCAAATTGCAGCTGATTTAGGAAAGTATTATGATTTGGAGTGACAAAAATTGGATTGGAATACCACATACATTAAGAATGAGTGAATATTTTATTCACTTGTTTAAATATTTGCACATCATTAAAAACATAGTACTATGAAATGAAGGCATCTTTTAAGAAGTATGTTCTAATTCATAAATGTAATGAGTATGTACAATGAAATGGTAATATTTAAAACACTCATTTAAAATATTAAATGCAGATCAAAACAACTGCTATGCTGTGTTTTGTTATAAGATATATGCAAAAATAATTATTAGTGTGTATTATTACTGAATTATTTTTATGTAACATCTATTTACACCCAAACAAGAGTAAGCCTTGTTCAGGAAATATCCTATGAGATTTATCATATTTTTCTTCTTTGTCTTCCATTCTTCTCTCAAACATGCACTTTTCATTTCTTTCTTCTATTATTCTCATTTCTTTATGTCCTCCCTTGCCAGTTTTGGGGGTGGATACCTGTGTGTTCATTGTGCAATTCTTACTAGTTTTCTGGATTAAAAATAAAATCCTCAAAGTACCATAAAATCCTCAAAATACTATAAAATCCTAATAAGCTGGTCTTATCCTGCAGCCCAGTTATAACCACTAACCTAATCTGACTTTTAAATGACATAATTGTGTAAGCACAGTCTCTTTCTTCTCTCCTACTTCAACTAAACTAATCTTATAGAGGTAGAGACATTCTTACAAGGCACCGGGCATTCTCTGACATCCGAATTCCCACAGATACAATTCAGTGCAGTTTTATTTCTTGCCCAATTTGCTCCCCTTGATTTCTTCCCTATCTCAGTAGATACACCAGATTCTCTAACCAAAAACAAGAATCATCTTTGATCCTTTCATTTTTCTCACTCCCACATCTAATGTATCAGCAAGTTGGGTTGGCTCTGCTGCACATTTCTCCATCTCCACTGGTACCATCCTACTCAATGCCCACATCTTCTCATCCCTGCATTGCATGCAGCATTATAACTACTTCAAGCAAAGGCTATTTTAATCCATTCATCTACTGATGGGCACTTAGGCTGTTTCCAGATCTTAGCTATGGTGAATTGTGCTGCTATGAACATATGGGTGCACATATCCTTTCTGATTGGTGTTTCTGGTTTCTTGGGATATATTCCTAGAAGTGGGATCACAGGGTCAAATGAGAGTTCCATTTTTAGTTTTTTTGAGGAAACGCCATACTGTCTTCCATAGCGGCTGCACCAATCTGCATTCCCACCAGCAGTGCACGAGTGTTCCTTTTTCTCCACATCCTCTCCAGCACTTGTCGTTTGTTGATTTGTTGATGATAGCCAGTCTGACAGGTGTGAGATGGCACCTCATTGTTGTTTTGTTAGAAAACTGTGGTACATCTACACAGTGGAATACTATGCTGCTGTAAAAAAGAAGGAACTCTTACCATTTGCAACGGCATGGATGGAACTGGAGCATTATGCTAAGTGAAATAAGCCAGTCAATGAAGGAAAAATACCACATGATCTCACTCATTCATGGATAATAAAGACCATTATAAACTTATGAACAATAATAGATACAGAGGCAGAGCTGCCTCAAACTGATTGTCAAACTGCAGCGGGAAGGCCAGGGAGGGTTGGGGGGCAGAAGGGAGGGGGGTAAGAGATCAACCGAAGGACTTGTATGCATGCATATAAGCATAACCAACAGACATAAGACACTGGGGGGTAGGGGAGGCCAGGGGATTGTCAAGGATGGGGGGGGAAAGGGACACATATGTAATACCCTTTGTAATACTTTAAGCAATAAAACAATAATAAATGAATAAATGCTGGGGGGAAAAAAGGCTATTTTAAAACAGGAAAATGAGTACACAAGTATTCAAAGGGCTGGTATAACAAGAAAGTATAACAAGAAGGTACTGTTTCTCAGAGATCAGTCACTGCAGGAGGCAGCTACTGTCCTTAGGGCTAGAGAAGCACAAGAAGGACAGCTGTGGTAACCCCAGGAGCCAATATTCTACTGACACTCCTAGAACCGTGTTGCTGTTGCTGATGCTAGTGGAAGCGCTGCTCACGAGGCTGAAAGAATGAGGACAAGGTTGATGAGAAGCCTGGGAGCCTGCAGTCCCTCTGCTTCCCATACAAGAAGCAGAAACAACAATCAAACCCCAAAAAACTTCTGTGAATGCGAAGACAAGAAAAATGCCTCGTTTTCCTTGCTGTAACCTTCCACAAGTTATGAGAAGCACCCAGGAAGTAAACCCCAAGGTTTTCAGTTTCTCTGATTCAAACAGCACCTCTGTTCAAACTGCAAGACAAGCTTCTTTCAAGGCTACATTCTTGTAGACACCTCCATTCTCAGCGGTGGAAGCATCTGTACCTTTTCCTTAGAAATCACTACATTTTCTACTTTAAGAAGTGTGAAAAACACTTGCCCAAGAATAATCATTCCTCTGCTACATATAGCCCCAGTGGGGTATCTGCCTCCATGTTTAAGCAGTGAGTGCAGGAACTTGGATCAGAGAGATAGAAGAGCATTCTAGACCAGTGATGGCGAACCTACGACACGCGTGTCAGAGGTGACACGTGAACTCATTTTTTTGTTGTTGATTTTTCTTTGTTAAATGGCATTTAAGTATATAAAATAATTGTCAAAAATATAAATCTTTGTTTTGCTATGGTTGCAAATATCAAAAAATTTCTATATGTGACACGGCACCTGAGTTAAGTTAGGGTTTTCCAAAATGCTGACACGCCGAGCTCTAAAGGTTCGCCATCACTGCTCTAGAGCATCGCCCATACCTGGAACATGTGGAGAGTATCTGTGCTCAGAAGACGAATGTGGTCAACCTGAACACCAAGGCATTTTCCATTCTCCAAACTCGCCTTTGTGTCCACCCCTGTGACCCCAGTCTGCACAAATTAGAGGCTGTAGGGTCTAAACAGAAAAGTTCAAATACCAAAAGAAAGCAGATTAGAGTGTTATGTGAAGTATATTTAAAAACTTGAGAGAAACATTTGGATACTGCAGTCATAAAATTCAATTTAGAATGTGCTTCCCATAGGAACATGGCAGGAGTTTCAATTACAATATTTCCATATTTTCTGAAAAAAAAAAAGAAAAGAAAAGGAGAAACCACACACAAATTGTATGTTTATTTAAATGTGAAGAAAACTTACAAGCTCCAAATTTCACATAAATGAACAAAGTCAGAATTTAGCAGAAACCCATACAGGAAGTTGAAATGATACTGTGAGGAAAGAGGGACTGTGAAGGGGTGTAATCAAACCATTCACATGATCTCATTTGATTTTCACAGCATATATACAGGCTTTAATATTTTCCCCGTTTTCTGGTCAAAACTCCTGGGCTCAGAAAAGTTAAGCTTGATCATAAATAAACTAGTCGATACAGTAAATCCTCGATTTTGCAAATCACAGTTTAAGAGACTAATGATTTAATGGTCAAAATTTCTGGTTGGCATGTCATATGTGAAAATTAACACCCTGTTAATTCGTTTTTATTTTAAAAAAATATTTTCAAGATTTTAGAGAGGAAGGGATAGGGAGACAGAACAATAGAAACATCAAAGATGGGAGAGAATCGTTGATCAGCTGCCTCCTGCACACCCCCCAATGGGGACACTCAACCTGAGCATGTGCCCTGACCTGGAACCAAACCCCAAACCTCTTGATTCATGGGCCAATGTTCAACCACTGAGCAACACGAGCCAGGCAGCACCTTCTTAAATTTAAGATGCTTTTAATCAAGATTTGCATATAATTAAATTAACAGGTGATTTTTTTTAAATTAGTTTTAGGGAATAGGCCAATGTTGGAAAAAACACTGTAGTAATTTTGCCAACATAAATAAATATTTCATATCTACAACTATAGTCTACACATTTAAATCCAAGAGTCACTGCTCAAAAACAATCTTCTGTGAATGACTAACACGTGATCACACTGCACCTCGAGCATGGTAACTGGGTACTTGGTTCTATTGTCCATTGGCTTGACTTTCTGCAGCAGTTTTTTGTTAAATAAATCTTTATTGTTGAAAATATTACATATGTCCCTTTTTTCCTCCCATTGCCCTCCCCCACCCCCTAACTCCCAAACTTTCACCACCTACTGTCTGTGTTCTTGGGTTATGCATATATGCATATGAGTTCATTGGTTGATCACTTTCCCCCCACCACCCTCCCCCGCCTTCTCTCTGAGGTGTGATAGTCTGTTCGATGTTTCTACGTCTCTTGGTCTATTTTTGTTTATCAGTTTATGTTGGTCATTAGATTCCACAAATGAGTAAGATCATGTGATACTTGTCTTTCTCTGACTGGCTTATTTTGCTTAGCATAATGCTCTCTAGGTCCGTCCATGCTGTTGCAAATGTAAGAGTTCTTTCTTTTTTATAGCAGTGTAGTATTCCATTGTATAGATGTACCACCATTTTTTAATACACTCATCTGCTGATGGCACTTAGGCTGTTTCCAAATCTTAGCTATTGTAAATTGTGCTGCTATGAACATAGGGATGCATATATCCGTTCTGATTGGTGTTTCTGAGTTCTTGGGATATATTCCTAGAAGTAGCATCACTGGGTCAAATGGGAGTTCCATTTTTTATTTTTTAAGGAAACTCCATACTGTTTTCCACAGAGGCTGCACCAGTCTGCATTCCCACCAGCAGTGCATGAGGGTTCCTTTTTCTCCACATCCTCACCAGCACTTGTCATTTGTTGATTTGTTGATGATAGCCATTCTGACAGGTGTGAGGTGGTACCTCATTGTTGTTTTGATTTGCATCTCTCAGATGATCAGTGACTTTGAGCATGTTTTCCTAGATCTCTTGACCTTCTGTATGTCCTTTCAAAAAGTATCTATTTAAGTCCTTTGCTCATTTTTTTGTTTGATTGTTTATCTTCCTTTTGTTAAGTTGCATAAGTTCCCTGTAGATTTTGGAGGTTAACCCCTTATCAGATGTATCATTGACAAATATGTTCTCCCATGAGTGGGTTCTCTCGTTATTTTATTGATGGTTTCTTTTGCTGTGCAGAAGCTTTTTTATGTAGCATCATTTATTTATTTTCTTCTTAATTTCCATTGTCCTAGGAGATGTATTCGTAAACATGTTGCTATGAGAGATGTCTGAGATTTTGCTGCCAAAGGTTTCTTCTAAAATTTCTATGGTTTCACATTTTATGTTTAAGTCCTTATCCATTTTCAGATTACT